GACAAAGCGAACCACAACGAAGTCACAGCGAATCAACGAAAGCGGTTGACACAAAGACAACAGCAAGAGGTTAAGTGAAGGTCAAAGGTCAGCGACCTTTGACTCGCCGAAAAGCAGCGCGACAGCAAGGACACATAACTGACTTACTATTGAGCTGTTACCCAAGTCGTTGCTGTATCGAACCGCAACAGCAGTTACAGTTAGATAAACCTTTCATGTTCCTTTGTAATCATATAAAGCTTTGTATCCTTTTGCTATTATCAACTTATCTTGTTCTCACATACTAGTGCTGTTGAATAGAAAGAGAAAGTAGGGCCTAGGCTTAGTAGCCTAGGCCAAAGGGAGTCGAGAGAGTTTAGGCAAAAAGAGGGTTTCACTATGGTTCGGAAGGTACACATAGGCAAGACAAACATGCAATTAGGTACACCACCAAGTTTATAATAACTACACTAACTACAGCTACAGGCAGTTACAAATATATTCTAACACTCCCCCATAAGGGGTAGTACTTGTACCAACTTTCTGTTCATTAAGGTGGTTCAACCAGTTCATTAATACGTTTCCGCTAATACATCACTACCGTCATCGCCCGGATAGTAGACTGTGTTGAATAGTAGACAGGGGTTGTCTATTATCTAGGTGTCTCTTATAAACAGGCTAGCCTCATTATAAGACACATATTTGTGTGTACGAGTTAAGACATGTATGTCTTATAATCAGAGCAAGGGTTAGGGGTTCTTATAAACAGGGGGTGTCTTCTAAACAAACATTAGTTACTTTAGGGGGGTACATGCATACATCTATGAATCTCTACTTCTACCTAGCCCAACTCAGTCACGGCATCCTCACTTGCACTAACAACAGGCTCCCTAACACCCAGGTCTGGCACTCACCAGGCATGCCTAGCCGTCTCCCTAGGCTCGATCATACGGTCAGCCTCAGCCGCCGCTCCACAGTAGTTGGGGGTCTCCTGGTACAACACATCCAGGCCGGTTGCCACTGCCACCTCCCTCACGCCCTCCGCCTGCATCTCCTCCTCCTCCTCCTCTAGAGCCTGCCCAAGCAGGCGCGTGTTGTCGCCCGTGGTTCCCCCGAGGCACATGTCCTCGGAGACATCGGTGGTGCTCCTGGTGCGCAGGTGAGACATCACCAGGTGGTTCTCCGTCCTGTCCAGCTTGCTTGAAATCCCACAGTGGCGGAATGCTTCAATGATGACCTTCTTGGGGACTTGATCCCACGCCTCCGCGATCCACTGCAGCACCACAGGGTGCGGAGGCCGCCGCAGGTTCCCTGTGAGTGGGACAGAGGCAAGGGTAGCGAGTCGTTAAGAGTCGTGGAAAGAAAACAGCGCAGAAGTTTATTTCAAAAGGCTACTCACCCGCCTTCGTCTTCAGGTGAATCCCTTCACACATGAACCACCTGGCGTAACGCGCTCGCACAGCAGCCTTGAAGCACCGGTTGATGGAGACGTCAAGGGGTTGAATATGGCTCGTGCAACCCGCTGGGATCACTGCAGGGGTGATGCTGTACGTGCGGTAAGCTTGAAGCATGGCCTGGGTGATGTGGCCGCGGTAGGAGTCCAACACCAGCATCGCACGCCTCGCGTTCTGGCGCGCTGGGGGTTCAGATGGGGCAGCACCTCCTTGGTCAGCCAGGTCTGCACGGCGCTCTCGTCCATCCAGCTGTTGTCCTGTGCTTGGCATACGATTCCTGCCAGGCACATTAGGGATAGACGGGCGTCAGCTAAGGAGGGCAAGCTCATCAGGCTAACGGCTCCCGAATTCCTTGAGCTTACCTTCCGGAATCTCACAGTTGGGCTCGTTCTTCAGCTTGAACCAAACCCACGGGCGCAGCTTCTCCCGAATGCGGTGCACGCGAGCATCACCGTGAGCCAAGTCTTCTCGTATCCTGCAGTGCGGATTGGGACCGAGCGCGCGCCACGGTGGCATCTCAACGAAGAGGGGCGTCTGGTCCGCGTTGATGATGTGGGCCAGGTCGATGTTGTGCCGTGCCCTGTTGATGCGCACGAACTTCCAGAACGAACAGTCCTTAGCGCACTCTGCAAAGGGAACACACGCCACGGCAGGAGGGGATGGTTAGAAACAAAGGGCGAGGAACATGCAGTCAAGCATCGAGTGCGAATTCAAGGCCTTTACCACTCACCAGCCGATAACCGTTGGCCGACCTTGGTCTTCACACACATGACCAGGTTCCAGCGGTCACGGAAACGCTGGCTCCAGTGAGAACTGGCGTTCCAGTTCTTGCCGGGGTGGTGTTTCTTCATCCACTCGCGGCTCCACTTCTAGGTGTCTTTCACCGAGATCGCCACCCCATTAGCGCGCTGCAGGCAGACGTAGCGGTACAACGCCGCCTCCATGTCGGGGTAGTGTGCGTGGCGCCTCCCCCCCCCCCCCCCCCGTGCATCCACTTGCGGCAGTTCGCCGCTCCCTTGTAAACGCCCGCAGCCGCCTCCGCACACCAGCGTCTGATGCAGGCGATGGATGTGGTAGATTCCAAGCCTGTCTTCTTCAAGGAGCCGAGCTCGTGGTAGCGGCACGCCCACTTGAGCTTCTCGCATACGGTCCATCCGCGTCGCCTTTTCTTACTGTCCTTGCTGCGAGGGGAAGGTGGACGGGAGTTGGGATTATGGAGGGTGGGGTCTTTCGGTTTCGCCTTCTCAGGGAATGAAGGAATCGGGCCTGCAGCCTCCGCGTAGTCATCGTCGCTGCCGAGCGCCTCGTTGACCACGATGTCGTCATTGTTTGGCGTTTTCTTCTTCTTCTTAGTAGCACACGTGCTGGATCCGGGGTCGCCGTCATCCTTCCGCTTCTTGTTGCTTGTGCGGCGACGAACGGTGGCCTTAGCAGGGGCTTCCGCGACCTTGCTTTTCCCCTTGTCTACAGCAGTGATGCGCGGTTGTTGCTCCTCCCCCGGACTATCGTCATCAGAGAGCTCCACGTGGGCACGCTTTCGGTTGGATTGTAGGCGATGACGCAGCCTCCGCTTAAGAAGCGGAACATCGTCGTCACCCGTGATGTTCCACGGGTCGTCATCGGAGTTTTCACCATCAAATAAGACAGCATCTGCACCTCCCTCCGCAGCATCCGTATCCGCCTCCGCCACAGTATCCGCATCTGCATCCGCAATTGCGGCCACATCCGCGGGCGCAACAGCATCGACATCCGCTTCCGCCTCCTCTTCCGTCCTCGCTTCCGCATCCGCCTCGTCGTCAGCCTCCGCACTCGCATCCACCGTCGCTCCCATTGCATGCGCCACTGCCTCCGCGTGCTCACCATCAGCATCGGCACCCTCGTCGTTGTCCGAATCACCCCGCCACTCTTCCTCTTCGTCCTCACTCCCAACCGGCCGATTCCACCAGTCATCCTCGTCGATGTCGGCAGGAGCTATTTCATCCCCCGAAGCGCTGTCGACGTGGCCGTTCTCCGGCCAATCCTCCGGCCAATCCTCCTCCTCGTCGTCGCCGTGTTCTTCGTCGTCGTCGTCCCCGTCAAAGCTCGCACCGGAGGCGGCGGTAGATGTTCCTGCCTTGCGCGTATTCTTCGCCATGGCTACACGGATGTCATCACCGGGCGAGTTAATTCGCCCGTAGTTATTCACCTGCACGTGAGGGCGAGGTGAGGACGTGCCTACGGGGACTTTAATGCGCATGGTTACGGTAAGCCTGCCGAGAGCAAAGGTTGAGTTGAGATCCCAACCTCCTTGAGCACCAAATGAAGCTCAAGCCCGACTACCCCCCCCCAACAGAGTGCTCCTTCCAATGGTGCCGAGCCGCTCCTCTACGAGGAATCTTCTCGTAGAGGACAGCCCTCACGCTGTCATCGTCCTGCCAGCAGCATTCTGGAAGCATCCATGCGCTGCTGGCAGCAAAACGACGCTGGCAGCATCATTAGATGCTGCCAGCACGGAGGGATGTTGCCAGCAGTGGCAGCTTTGATGCATCCCTCACATGGCAAGTGGGGGCGCTGCATGCATCACCACTGAGGTCGTCCTGTTTCAATGAATCTGGCCCCTGGGTGGTTTCTACACACTTTGCAAATGTTACAGAGTACTTATATTTTTTTTCCAGTCATAAGACTTCTAAGACACCATAAACCATCCAAAATACAAGATAACCCAAGCATTTTGAGTAGTGTACGAGATAAGACATATATGTCTACTATCCGGGCGATGACGGTACTTTGAGTCCTAGTCTTGAAAACGATCCTAGGGGGTTTTCTCAGCCCAACACCATGCAATCTGATTACTTCGGGTTGTGAGTTAGGCACTTCACCACGGGCGATGAGAATCCAATGCCAGGTTAGCTGTAGGGATGAACTCTAACAAATCCCCTGAATCGAGGCTCAGAAAGGTGCATCAGCACATTGCCCTTGCAATCATCGGCAAGCCTGGTGTAGAGATATTGATCAGGGCAGAAAGTACAGGTACCCAATTCTGCGGTCAACTCTGTACTGATAGCAGTTAAACTGGATAGAGATCCCCATTTTATTTTTGATTCCAAATTCGAACAAGAAATTGAGGCAAGAGCAGATATATTTCATGATTGAATTTCTACCACCAACTGGATAACACTACAAGAAAAGAACATCGCAAAATCCAGACTGCTTCCCATCTACTCCTGAGAGCAACAGTCTCTTCCCATCTGACTCAATAGACAAAAGACCAAAATATGGAGCAGTCTGCATTTAGCACCATTAACTGAACCAATGCAGTATGGATATTGTGATGTGGGAACGACAAGCTTCATGCCAGCGGCCTCCTCTAGAATACTATCACATCTCCAGTGCTGCTTCACACCAACCTTCCCCAAATGAACAGACGCTCTAATGCTAATGCATGTGCACATGAGATCAGTCACCTGATCAAGGTTCCACCTCTCCAATATTAGAGCCGAGCAATCCCTCCTGCTAAAACTTGCTGGACGTTTAAACGGCCTGAGATGTGGCCATGGGCTTGCTAGGGTGAATGAACATGTTGCACAGCTAAGCACAACAGTTGGAAGCAGCAGGTGCAGGAGCGGAAGTGTCTCGGATGTTGAGATTACTTGGTTTCTGCATTCAAGGCGACGGGGGTAATGAAGATTTTAGGGGGGGGGGAGAATTAAGTTAAAATGTGATGTCATACAATACAGGTACCATATGATATCACATACGACAGAGACATAAGGGTGGACGGTAGGCAGGACGAAAACGAGATGCATACCTCCGTGTTGGCTGCGTGTGTAGCTTCGTAACGCTTTTTGCTCTCTCTGGCAATACACACGAAGGCCTCTTCGACATTGATATCAGCCTTAGCAGACTGCACCGACAAATGAACATATTAGGGAATAATCAAGCAATGAAAGAAACGAAGTGAAAAAGTCCCTGCGCTAGGGTTGCATGACGACGTACAGTTTCAAAGAAGTTGATTTTAAACTCGTTCGCAAGTTGCTGCCCCTGGTCCTTGGTCACCACCTGCACATATAGCAGACTAGGCTCATAAGTAACTGTCCAGGCAACCTAACATAGCAAGAAAGATTACACTTACCCGCCGATCCTCCATATCAGCCTTGTTGCCAACCAAGATCTTGCAAACGCTCTCAGAAGCATGCTCCTCAATGTTTCGGATCCAACCACGAATGCCTGCAATTTAGAAGGAAGTTTGACAAAAATCACGCTTCCTGCTACTACACAAAAAAAAAGTAGAGAATATCATGGAACAAAAGTGCGGCTCTTACTGTTGAAAGACGACTCGCTGGTGATGTCGTAGACAAGAACGATACCGTTAGCTCCGCGATAATAAGCTGAACAGAAGTGAGGGAATAAGCTTAGCCCGAATTATCTCATCGTTCCCAAAACTCCCAGGAACCGAGAAAGTAGAAGAGAAAAAAATCACCTGCAGTGATAGTACGGAAACGCTCCTGTCCTGCTGTATCCCAGATCGACAGCTTCACTTGTTCCCCATCGATATCAATAGTGCGAGTCTTGAAATCGACACTGCAACAGGGCGCATGCGTCACGATAGGCACAAGCGGAACTTCCTCGTCGATTAAACACCGAAAACAGACGACGATGACTCGAAAGCTCATTGCTAAAATGACTACTTGCAATTTTATTCTAACAAGCGCACCAAGGATGCTGCACAGCACATTTCCGCGAACAAGCAATATGGACATAAAATCCCATGCACGCATCGTCCGAGCATAAACGGCGTTACAATTCCTAACTCAAGCAGATGCAATTCAACCACAATCAGATCTGGAATGATTTAATACAGATCCGGGAAAAAGGTTCCAACGTACCCAATGGTTGATATGAAAGTGTGGCTAAAGGAATCTTCTGCGAACCGTAGCAGCAAACTAGACTTTCCGACAGCTGCGAAGTGATTGATTGCACAAAAGATCAGGACAAGGAAAAGGAAAAACAAACCAGCATAAGCGTGGTAACAAAGCAACATAAGCAGAACAAAGGAAGGAGGAAGTGTCTGGATGATGATCAGGCTACTGCTTCTCGCACTGCAACATTGAAGGGAAAGAGCGACGAAGCGACGAGAGCACAAACCAGTGGGATGAGCACCTTGACGGAGCTAGAAATTCAGGCAAGCAAAACGTCCGAGGAAAAACAACGCTATGAGGTCGGCAAGCGCAACAAGGAATTGACGAAAGGTATAATAACTAAAAAGGGGTAATGAAGCATCTACGTTAAATTGAGAGGAAAACCAAGTGAACGCCTATTGTTTCTACGGTCATTATGCGGCGAAATACAGCGTAACGAAAAAATATGCTTCGTAACAAAACTCGCAAAGCCTAGAAAAGGGCCACAGATTAATGCGGATCCGCGACTTTACCACTATCTCCGATCAGGAGAAGCTTGAGTCTGGTTTCTCCGTGCTTGCGTCCAGTTGACATGATTCGAGCCGGAATAAAAACAAAAACGTGGACGTTAGCAGAAGATTAAGCTACTAAGCAAGCAGATCACAGCCTGAAAAGGTAGCTTTCAGGAAGCTATAGCGAATGTTGACGTCCTAGGCAGGAGGCAGGTAAGATGTGCAGGTGAGATGCCGGAGAGGAGGCTAGGACATCAAGAAATAGACAATGTGGGAATGATACAGATCCACTCCGTCACGTCAAGGGCACCAACCAAACCCTCGTTTTCACGCCTCTACTCTTCCTGGAAGGCTTGATTGGTCGTCGTCAGTGAAGGGCTACCAGATCTCGCCACAACATACTGCAGCAGCACATGGATGGGAGCAAATGAGGTATGGCCTTCCCCCAGCCCTAGCAGTGTGGTGGTGGACCCGCCAGATTTTAGCGGAACTTATTGCCCGAACAAGCCCGCGGAACCTGAAGGACTTTAGCTGACAATACCCCTACGTTCGGTTTGACCGGAGCTTTTCCCGCCTTGCTGCGGGACAACCGAACCTCATCACGATGGCGTGATGACTGGGGCACGAAAACAATCTTGCCCAGAAACTAGCTTCGGTCCCTGATTTATTGGAGTCTCACCGCAGCTTGCTTCCGGAACCAACGGTGTAGCAAACTCGGCCAGCTTCGACTGGCATCCGAGCCTGGCCTGAGCCTCGTGCAAGGCTCTCCATGATGGGAGACAAACGGACAGACTGTTCCTCAGGTGCGAACATACCCCATACAAAGTGACAGTACAAACTTTATTAAAAACATCAAGGCTCCCAAATCAGTTAAAGATTTTAGGCTGAATGATATTGTTGAGGTGAAACAATTATATTTGTTTTACATTTCAATGGTGCAAATGCGTAAGTGATATATTTAGATTTTATATTTTTTATATAGAAAATAAATGCTCAGTGATCTCATCCGTTGGATTCAATTAGTCTTGTGACTCTTCGTGCCGTGCTACAATAAAAGTATTTGTTAGTGTTACAGTCCCACGTGGGGCTTAGACAGAATCGTGCTCGGGGTTGATCGCAGAGCAATGAAGCAGCGGAAGTAATTGACACATGTCAGAGTCAATGTAAGATGACATAAGTGACTATAAAAAGGGCATACATGGGTTTATATAGAAACACAAATGAATACGAAACGACCTGGCTAGCAATGTACTCTAAGAAGTACGTTCCCTTACTGCATTGAAAACTCAACCATGCAGCGCATGAAACCGTTTCAAACCCGTTCCCGCCTTTGTTGAAATGTATTTGTATACTTTCATATAAATGCCTACAGTAGCCTAGTGTAGTTATCTTAGTTTCCTGCTAGGTGGTGTACCATTTGCCTTTCTTCATTCTTGCCTATTTGTACTGCTCGCTCTATAGTGAACAACCTCTTTTTGGCTTGCATCCTTCCCTTCGTCACTCTCGCCTAGGTCGAACCCTAGGCCCCTAAACTTTACTCTCGACATGGTATTAAGAGCTAGGTTGTCCTAAGACCTATTTTTTTTCCCATGGGCCCACCACGTATCCCCCCGCTCATGGCGCTCGTCACGCCCCCCGTTGCGGCCGTAGTTACGACGGCGGCAACGGTCGCAACCGTCGATACGGTCTCGTCCGTGGCGCCCTCCCCGTCACGCCTGTTGCGCCCTGCTCGTCGCGCGCGTTGCCTGCCCCGCCCCGTACTGTCACGAACACAGCAGCAGCCGCGCGCAGCTGCGTACGGGCGCGCATTGCTGCGCGCAGCCACGTACGACCGTGCGCCCCCGCGCACGGCCGTGTGCGCCAGCACCAGCCCCCGTCGCCAGCACCTGCGTGAGCAGTAGCTAACGCCGCCCCCCCCTTCTCTTCCGCAGCTTTCGCCGTGGGGGGAGGGAGATGTGGGGGTGGCAGGTGTGAGTTACCTGCAGCCCGTCCTACCCCTCCCTTCAGCGGGGTCCGCCGTGGGGGGGGGGAGAGGTTGCGGGGGGAGGGTGAAGGGAAACGGGGGGAGTGTGAGAGGGTGGCGAGAGAGACTCTGCAAAGCCAGCAGCCACCCCTCCTCTCTCTCTCACTGCCGCTTGTGCTGCTGTGGGGGGGAGGGTAAGAGAGGGTGGTGGGAAAACAGTCAAGCATCTGCGGCTGCCACCCGCTGCTACCGTGGCACCTCCTGCTGCCGCCCCTGCCGCCACCTGCCCTTGTTTCTGCTGTCTGCTGCTGGGGCCTGCAGGTGCTGCCGTCGAGCCGCTGCTGTCCTGCTGCATGTTGCAGCTACAGAGCCTGCTCCTCAGGCGACCTGCCGCCCCTACACCTTCTACTGTTTCTGCCTTGGCTGAGGGCATGCTACAGCTGTATTTGCCACTCCTGCACCGGCTACTACTGCTCTTGCTTGCTTCTGTTTCTTCCACTGCACCTGTTGTACCCCTGCAGACTTTGTGCTACAGACGGGCTTCCACTGTAGGCATTTAGGGGGTATGTTGAAATGTATTTGTATACTTTCATATAAATGCCTACAGTAGCCTAGTGTAGTTATCTTAGTTTCCTGCTAGGTGGTGTACCATTTGCCTTTCTTCATTCTTGCCTATTTGTACTGCTCGCTCTATAGTGAACAACCTCTTTTTGGCTTGCATCCTTCCCTTCGTCACTCTCGCCTAGGTCGAACCCTAGGCCCCTAAACTTTACTCTCGACAGCCTTTTCTCTTTCAAATGCCTCTGCCTGCATTGATCTTCATCTGACAATTGTCCTCAATGCTTCGGTTCTTCTGACTCTTCATCTTCGTACTCAGGAGTGGGGGTTCCTGATACGTTGAGGAATGTACCATGGATATTTGCTTATCGTAACACATCCTTCATTCCTGGGCGTAGCAGGTTCTGACCCTCTTGACCACTCCGCGGAGGTTGGTGCAGTGCTGGTACTGCTGACGTGGCCGTCGCTTGGTGAGAAAATTAGCCGCCATGTCAGTGGTGGGAAAGTACGTCTGGTCAACCCCCGTGCTTCGCGATTTAATGTATAAGTTTGCTTTCTCCCAATGCCCTATTTTTATCTCCATCGGTTGTTGTAGCAGCCTGCTCGACGACACTACGCCCTTCGGTTGATGCAGCTTCATAAGGTACTTGCAAGATTCCAGTGCCGGAGCCGGCTTTCCCTTGAAGGAGCGGATGCCGAGTTGCTCCGTGGGCGTCATATTTCTTAGTAGCACGCTGCACGCCATGAGCGACTCGGTACAGTACTAGTTGACGGGAAATGGCCCCGCCCTCGCTTGGGCGAAGCATCCTTCGCAGTCGGGGGCGCGCAAAAGTTGACGCAAACTGTGTGCAGAAGTCGACGCGACCTGCGCGCAGAAGTCGACGTCGACTGCTCGCAGAGTTTGGCGTCGACCTGTCCGCAAAAGTCGATGCCGACTGCTCGCAGAAGTCGAGCAGTTGTCTGGTCGACAAGGCTCCTTGGAGTAGTTGGTCAAGCATCATCGGCAGAGGATGCGATCGACATCGCCGGCAGAGGACGCCGGTCGACGAGCCCGTAGAGAGGTGCTGGTCGACGGGATCTGCTCGACGTGCTCTTCTTGGCGAAAGCTGTTCGATGGAGCATCGTCGAGCTGGTCAACGGAAGTCGTTCGTCTGCGAAATCTGACGTATGGGCGAATGCCGCCCATGAGGTTTTCGCGAAGTCAACCTGCGGAATGGCATCACGTGCTCGACGGTGCACAGTTGGTAAACCCATGAATACGTGTTATACCTAGCACCTGCGCAATGTGCCTGGCGACGTGACCATCTATTTGCACCTACTTGGTAGGTGCACACATGCGCAGAAGTTCACCTGCCTCTGTAGTGCTGGCAGACCGCTACGGTGCAACGTCGGCAGACTACTCTGCTGCAGCGTTGGCAAGCCGCCCTTCTGCTGCGCTGGCAGAGTCCGCCCTGCAGAGGGCTTGCTAGGTGTTGCAATGCCATTCTAGATATATCGACTTGCATGTCTCATTGTAATCCAATGTTCTTTTCAATTTCTAGTGAAACTCTTGCCATATTTCTCTGTGAACACAGCAAGTGGTGAGAACGCTACGATCACTTGCACAACCCCGTGCCTTCCTACGTAGTCCACTCCCGTTGTGTAGTGACTCTCCGCATGGTGCGGTGAGCGTGGATCGTGTCAAACTTATATGCTATAGTCTGTTTAGGCTGTAGTGGGGTAGTTCTTATAGGGTACAACACTTTTAGATTTTTTACTTGTACCCACCTGCTTGCTAATTCAGTCATTCATTCGTTCATATTCTGACATGGTATTCTGAGCAGGTTCCCTAGTGGGAACGTTTTTTAAAGGGCCCACCACGATTTTTTTTTTGCCCTGCCCGAAGCGCGCATCGCGCCCTGCCCTAGTACGGCCCGTAGCGGCCCTGCCTTCGCTGGCCCGTCGTGGCCCTGCCTTTACTGGCCCGTCGCGGCCCTGCCTTAGCCGCCCACGCGGCCCCTCGCTGCCCCTCGCCGGCCTGTCCCTGGCCCGTCGCGGCCCCTTTGCCGCCCGTCGCGGCCCAATTGCCGCCCGTCGTGGCCCCTCTGCCGCCCGTCGCGGCCTGTTCGCCGCTCGTCGCGGCCTCTGCCCAGCAGCCGCCCTGTCGCGGCCACTGCCCTGCAGCCGCCCCCTGTCGCGGCCCTGCCTTCGCCGCCTGTCGCGGCCTCTGCCTGCAGCCGCCCCCCTGTTGCGGCCACTGCCCTGCTGCCGCCCCAGTCGCGGCCCTGCCTTTGCCGCTGTCGCGGCCTCTGCCTTGCAGCCGCCCCTGTCGCGGCCCTGCCCTACTGCCGCCCCGGACGCGGCCCTGCCCTGCACCCGCCCCTGGTAAGCACCCACGCTGCGCCACCTGCCGCCGCGCCGCGCCGTCAGTAACCAGGCCGCGCCGCCCAGCCGAGCCGTGCCGCCTGCCGAACCGCGCCGCCCTACAGAACCGTGCCGCCCTACTGAGCCGCACTGCCCTGCCTGCGCTGCCCCTGCTGCTACTGCTGCTTCTGCTGCTACTGCTGCTCTTGCTGCTACTG